AACAAAGCTTCAATAAACATGGGTGTGCATATATCTGCTTGGATGTCAGCTATGGTCTCTTCAGGGTATATTCCCAGTAGTGGAATTGCTGGGTCTATCTTAATTTGAATGTTCAGTTTTAGAGAAGTATCAGACAGACCAGCATTTTACAGAAAAGTGAAAGATATATCCCTTAATGTGGAGTCAACCATTAGTATCAGTGTTGTCCCTGCCTTTGGCACACATGTCCTTACCCACTTACTTCCCTGCTCTACCATCCACCAGGATACCCATACACTTCTACCCACTCCCTTCAACATCTATCTCCCATTGTCCAGCCCTTGATCACTTGTTATGCATCAGAGAGTTGGACAGTGACCAAGGAGGATAGAAGGAGAATTGATGCTTTTGAGCTGTGGTGCTGGAGAAGTGTTATTAAGGGTACCATGGACTGCTTGGAAAACCAACCGATTCATTTTGGAAAGGGTTAAACTGGGCGGTTCCCTGGAGGCAAGGATTCTGAGGCTCCATCTAACATAGTTTGGACATGTAAGGAGGGATCAGTCCTTGGAGAGGGACATCATACTTGGGAGGGTGGAGGGATAGTGCAGAAGAGGAAGGCCCTCTATGAGGTGGATTGATTCAGTGACTGGGTTAATCAGGATGGGTTTATCTGAGATAGTGCGATTGGCACAGGACAGAGCAGAGTTTAGGGCTGTTGTACATAGGGTCGCTATGAGTCGCAAGTGACTCGACAGCACATAACAACAACAACAACAACATGACAGCAGCATGAGAGAACAAGAGAGAGCTTTGTGAAGTTAGAAAAGCTACCTCCCTTCCAATGTTCCCTTCTAAACATTTAGGAAAGCTAAGTGTCAAGAAATAAAAGGAATAAGTAAGTGAAACAATGAATAAACTAAGAAATGGGGAAAAAAAAGTAGAAAATATTAAGACTGGCTATATGCTTCTTTCACGGTGTTATTTCTGTTATTAAGGCTGAGTTGCAGATATTTAGGATAGTGCTTGTATTGGATAATATAAGCATGGTAATAAATTAATTACCTTAAGTTAAAAAAAAATAAAAAAGTGTGTTGCATTGGAAAAGTCTGCTGTAAAGGACCTCTTGTAAGTGCTAAAGAGCAAAGATGTCAGATTAAAGACTGAAATGCTCATAATCCAAACCATAATATTTTCACTTGCTTCCTATACATCTGAAAGTTGGAAAGTTGAATAAAGATGACAGGAGAAGAATTGATGCCTTTGAATTGTGTTGGAGAACAGTACTGCATACCCCATGGATTGCCAAAAGACCAAGTCTGTCTTGCAGCAAGTGCAAACAGGGTGTTCTTTCAAGGAAAGGATGGTGAAAATTCACCTCACATACTTTGGGCATGTTGTTAGGAAGAGTATGTTTTTTCTTGAAAAAGATTCCATGCTGGAAAAGGTAGAGGGTCAGAAAAAGAGAAGACCTTCAATAAGATGGATTGTCAGAGTGTCTTTAACAATGGTTCAAGCATATCAGAGCTAGTGAGGCTGTCATAGGATAAGGCAAGGTTCAGATCTGTTTTCTATAGAGTTGTTATGAATTGTCCAGGCAACTCCATGTAACCTAACAACAACAATAACAATTTTACTAAACAACTAAAATGTTTCAAAGTTAAATTTCATATATGACTATTGTAAGATGAAGAGAGTAAGAAGTGGAGTAATAACATTTCAAATAATGAAGACACCCCAGAAAGGCAAACTTACAGAACAGACAAATTTAAAACATCTGTTTTTAAATGAGCTAGGGAGTTCTGGTGGCATAGTGCTAAGGAGCTGCACTGCCAACCCAGAGGCACTCAGTTCAAATCCACTAGCTGTTCTCTGGGAGAAAGATAGTCTCCTCTCATGCAATTTACTTTCTCTGAAAACCTGCTGGAGGGTCAGCTATGAGTTGGTTCCAACCTGATGATGCATAGCAACAACTACAACTACAGACATTGTTAGTAAAATTATAAACATGAAATAGTAATAAATCATAATTAGAAAAACTTAAGAGATGAGATGGCAGAACTCAGGAAATAAGTAACAATAAAAGAAAATTTAGAATTTTATAAACTAGATGGAACAAGAGAAAAAATAAATTCAGCAGATTACTCTCTTAAAAGAAGTAGAAGGTGAGAGGAAGAAAACTTTTAAAACAAAAAAATGGAGAAAGAAAAAAAAATTACAAGAAAGCGAGTTATTAACAACAGAAAGAGAAGATCCAACATAAAAATAATAGGTATCCCTAAGGAATTAAACCAAAGCAAGGGAACAGAACTAGAGTTGAAGAAAAGTTTTCCAAAATAAAAAAGATGTGACATTGTATATGACTTTGTTGTTTTGCTTGCCACGTAGCTAAACACAAATGCCAAAATGCAGCAAATTGAACATCTAAGATGCATGCATTTTATTGCATGTTTATACCTCAAGGAGACAAAGTTAGGAGATGACCCTTTCACCTCCAACAAAAACAGAGAAGCAGGCTGAATTGGTTACCACATTTTTAACTCACATTATCATTTACATTAAGCATTTGGCTTGGTGAGGAGGGGAGCTTGTCTAGAAGAGCAATGGCTTTTGGGAGACTTTAGTCTCAAATATTTTTTTACCATTACTGTTGTCTTCTCCCATTACTGTTGAGTTCAAGGAAATAGTGCAAGGTAATAGCAGGTGGTTCGCATAATTCCTAGGAAGGGATGAGCACAGGATATCAAAGAGAAGCATAAACATTGCCCAAGGATTTTACATTGTCTCTTGAAAGGGGTTAGTACTTTTGTGGTTGTACACAGGATAACATATTAGGTAGAAGTATGACTTTGTTATCTCTATTAGATTAAGTGTGGCTTAAGGAGAGGTATATGGATGCCAAGTCAAAAAAGGAGGTGACTGAAATGATTATGTTTCCTCTTCGGCAGGTTACGGTGCCTATTTGTTCATTAAAACACCAGTTTTTCTTAGGTATTGTTGAGTCCACTAAGACTCATCGCTCTGTATGAATGATAGACCTGAACCTTGCCCTATCCTGTGCCACCCCCACTATCCCTGATATACTCAAGCTCATTGTTACTGTCTTGTTACATCTTGTTGAAGGTCTTCCTCTCTTCCTCTGAATCTCTACTTTTCCCATCATGAGGCCTTTTTCCCAGGGATGGACCACTCCTGACAACATGCTGAA